GTGCAGTGGCACACTCACGGTCACCACAGCCTCAACCTGCTGGGCTCAGGTGATCCTTCCGCCTCAGCCTTCCAAGTAGCTGGTACTACAGGCGCGCACCACCATGCCTGTCTAATGTTTTGATTTATTATGGAGATGAGGTATCACCAAGTTTCCCAGGCTGGTCTCAAACCCATGGACTCAAGCAATCCTATTGCCTCTACCTCCCAAAGTGCTGGGATTACAGGTGTGAGCCACCACGCCCGGCTAGTACCATTTTTAGGGTTGCTTATTTTTAAAATAACCTTGTTGTTGGATAATTTGTGATATATCATAATCAAAATATTCAAATTCAGTTTTTCTTACTCCCTACTTCTTCTGAATAGGATTTTCCTGAGAAAATAAACACAACTCCAAAGGAAAATTTAGTAATTGATTCTGCCAAAAATGGTTATGATTATCTAGGTGACATCCTACAGAGTTCTCTTACAGAATTTCTATTTTATTTTATTTTTAGAGTTGGAGTCTCACTCTGTAGCCCAGGCTGGAGTGCAGTGGCATGCTCACGGCCACCCCAGCGTCCACCTCCTGGGCTCCGGTGATCATGGCACCTCATCTTTCCGAGTAGCCAGAACTACAGGCGCGCCCTACCATGCCTGGCTAATTTTTTGATTTCTTGTAGAGATGAGGTCTTGCCAAGTTACCCAGTCTGGTCTCAAACCTGTGACCTCAGGCAATATCCTCACCTCAGCCTCCCAAAGTGCTGGGATTACAGACTGAGCCACCGAGCCTGGCCCAGAGTTTCTATTTTAAAAATTAAGCACTAGGGTTACTTCATGCTTTCCTTGTCTTTCCTTCTCTTCTGTTAAAGTTGAATGTGTCTGAACTCCTCTGCATAGGTAATACCGATACCTGAATAGCAGGAAGAAGAGTTGAGTAAAGTCTTCTCTGAATTTTTGTTTTCTATGTTAGATCCTAAAGTAAGCAAAAGAAGACCAGCAATGAGAGAGAGGGAAGAAAATTCTGATCATTACCAGAGAGACATACAGACGCTCATCCTACAGGTAAAGCGTTTATTTAGGCAGAGCAAGATGGTTTTTATCCACAAGTTGAACTGGATATAACATACCTTCATTTGCATATGGTTAGTAACTCCTCGTACACAGGTTACATCTAGGCATCCTGTGATTTAGAAAATTCAGGTTCCAATTTTTTGTTTTTTTTGTTTTTTTGTTTGTGAGTTGGAGTCTCACTCTGTCACCCAGACTGGAGTGCAGTGGCCGCTCCCGGCCACCGCAGCCTCGACCTGCTGGACTCCGGCGATCCTTCCGCCTCAGCCTTCCAAGTAGCTGGAATTACAGGCACGCGCTACCATGCCCGGCTGATTTTTTGATTTAGTGTAGAGATGAGGTCTCGCTGCCCAGGCAGGTCTCGAACCCGCGGGCTCAGGCAATCCACTCCTCTCAGCCTCCCAAAGGTGCGGGATTACAGGCTGAGCCACCAAGCCCAGCTGAGGTTCCAATTTTTAAGAGTATATATATATGTATATATATATATATATATATATATATATAGAGAGAGAGAGAGAGAGAGAGAGAGAGAGAGAGAGAGAGAGATGTGTGTGTGTGTGTGTGTGTGTGTCTGTATAAGAGACTTAACTCTGTCACCCAGTCTGCTGGAACGCAGTGGCATGTTCATGACCACCGCAGCCTCAACCTGCTGGGCTCAGATGATTCTCCCACCTCAGCCTTCCAAGTAGCTGGAACCACAAGCACCCAGCATTTTTGTATTTATTATAGAGATGAGATCTCGCCAAGTTGCCCAGGCTGGTCTTAAACGGCTGGACTCAGATAATCCTCTCTCCTCCGCCTCCCAAAGTTCTGGGATTACAGGAGTGAACCACCGCACCCCACAAGAACTTACATTTTAAAACCATCATTTTTTCTCTGAGCATTCTAGAAATGCTGCTCTGAACCTTCAATTCAACATGCTAAGTCCTACCTAACAAAACCATTATATAGTAATAATTCACTTTATGATTAGCTATAGGGATACACAGAGTTGCAGAGGAAGGCTTGTCTATGTGGGTGGGTCAACATCTGGGGAGTATATCCATTGATGCAGTGAATGGATTCTGAAGTCTAGGAAAGTAATGAATCATTCTCTTAGTACTTGATGTCATTTGGAACCATGATCTTTTCACCTAGTTGCATGGAAGTTCCCGTCTTTTTCGGGGTGGGGTTGCATTAATTTATATGATGGTTTTTACCAGTGGTCATGACATCGCCATGTAGAGTCATGACAGCCAGACACAGAGAAGGAAATTATCTTCATTTTGCTCTACTTTTTTGAGATTGAAAACCAAGAAAAGAGTCATTCTGTTTGTATACAGCTAGGGCTTCTTAAAAGGGAGATAGTCTTGAATTTAAAGGAGAAAGAGTGAAGAGGCAAAAATTGGTCAGGCAGTGGTGGTTCATGCCTGTCATCCCAGCACTTTGGGAGGCCGAGGCGAGTGGATTGCCTGAGCCCGTGGGTTCGCGAACAGTCTAGGCAACTTGACGAGACCTCATCGCTACAATAAATAAATTAAAAAAATTAGCCAGGCGTGGGTGCGCATACCTGTAGTTCCAGCTACTTGGAAGGCTGAGGCGGAAGGATCGCCGGAGCCCAGCAGGTCGAGGCTGGGGTGGCCAGGAGTGTGCCACTGCACTCCAGCCTGGGCGACAGAGTGAGACTCTGACTCAAAAAAATAAAAAGAAGATCAGAGGTGAGGTCTTTCTACAGTTTGTTCTGCTGCTGTGTTTGGGGAATTATTTTGTCTGTGTGTATGTATGTGTTTGCTTTGGAATTTTCCTGGAGCAAGGCTCCCTTAGAGAGGCAGGAAGCAAGTGGAAGTGGGTGTGGATGCCTCACCCCTTATCGGCCCGTCTAGGTGGAGGCGCTGCAGGCCCAGCTGGGGGAGCAGACCAAGCTTTCCAGGGAGCAAGTGGAAGCACTCATGGAGGAGAGGCGGATCCGCACTGAGGAAATCCAAGTCCAGCAACAGAGAAACCAGGACAGAATCCAAGAGCTCACCAGAAAGTGAGTGCCAAGAAAGCTGTACATCACTGCTGTTTCATTTTTCCAAACGGCTTACAAGTTAACAGTTTAGGCCGGGCGTTGTGGCTCAAGCCTGTAGTCCCAGCACTTTGGGAGGCTGAGGCGAGAGGACCGCCTGAGCTCAGGGGTTCGAGACCAGCCTGGACAACTTGACGAGACCTCGTCTCTGCTAAATCTAAAAATTAGCTGGGCATGGTGACATGCACCTGTAGTTCCAGCTACTGGGGAGGCTGAGGTGGCAGGATCGCTGGAGCCCAGCAGGCGAGGTTGCGGTGGCCGGGAGTGGCCACTGCACTCCAGCCTGGGCGACAGAGTGGGACTCCAACTCAAAAAAATAAAAAGAAAGTTAACAGTTTGTATGTTAGTAACATAGGATCATAGAACTGAGCAGAACCTTGAAAAAAATGGACCATTTTTTTAGGGCCATTGCTGGACTCTGACGTGGTCATGTACTTTTTGAGCTGTGGCTGTCACCATGTTTTCTGGCTTTGGTCCCTCCCCTACCCTGGGAAGGTAAATCTCCTCTTTCTCTTTCTCTAATGTACTTTTAAAATAAACAATATTTTCTGATCTGAAGAAAAATGGTTTTCTGATTCCTCATCTCTAGGTGGGTGAATGTCCTGTGTTTCCAGACATGCTGTTAAGTTTGTGATTCCACGTGCTCCTTGTAAGCCTTTCAGTTTTTAGCTTGATTCTAGTGGTTCAGAAATGTTCTTTTACACTGGTATGTGCTCTGACTCAGTGCAGTAGGGCCCTTTTCTTTTGTTACATGCCTTTACAAGAAATCCCTCCAGACTCTATACTTACGGGTTTTGGTCCCTACCTATCGACCTTTCCTCACTTTTTCTGCCGAGTGCAGTGTGATTTCATCTCTACTGTTTTTTTTTTTTTTTTTTTTGAGTTGGAGTCTCGCTCTGTCGCCCAGACTGGAGTGCAGCGGCCACTCCTGGCCACCGCAGCCTCGACCCGCTGGGCTCCGGCGATCCTTCCGCCTCAGCCCTCTGAGTAGCCGGAATTACAGGCGCGCGCTACCACGCCCGGCTGATTTTTTGATTTATTGTAGAGATGAGGTCTTGCTGCCCAGGCGGGTCTCGAACCCGCGGGCTCAGGCAATCCACTCACCTCAGCCTACCAAAGGTGCGGGATGACAGGCTGAGCCACCGAGCCCGACCATCTCTACTGTTTTACTCGTGTTCCTTTTCCAGGGTCATCACTGACTTCTTCATTTCCAACCCAATGATTTCTTTTCAGTTCTAACTGTAATTGTGTCTTTCTGCCTGTTTGGCATCACTGGTCACCCCTTCCTTGAAATTCCTCTCCTGTCTAACCGTCCTCAGCCTTGTGTCTGGTTCTAGTGGCCAGAACTGTGCTGTAAAGACAGCCCCTCCTGGTTACAGAAGCCGATCTGCTTGTCACTCCCAGTAAATGCCTCTTCCCCATCTGAAACCTGCTACTTCCTTGTTTTCCATTCTGTCTCATGGTATCACATCCATTTCGTTTCCCAGGGTTGAAACTGCAAGATCATCCTCAACTCCTAACCTCTCATTTCCTAAATCCAGACCCTACGAGTCTGAAGCCAAAAACATCTCAGATTTGTTATCGGCCCTTTCATTCTTACTGCATTAGTTCAAGTTCTGTTCCTTGGGGGGGTTTGGTCTTGTTTTTAGCACAGGGGAGATGGTGGGGAAAAAATCTCAACTTAGTCACATTTTAGATGCTGTTGGGGCACATCCCTATCATGTTTACGGGATCCCAGCTGCTGTGGGTTTTATTATTGACCCAAGGGGTGTGTGTGCAGGTTTGTTACATAGGGATATTGCGTGATGATGAGGCTTGGGCTTCTACTGAGCCCGTCACCCAGGTGGTGGACATGGTGCCTAGTGTGTGGTTTTCAGCCCCTGCCCCCTTTCCTCCACCCTTTCGGAGTGCTCTAGTGTCTGTATTCCTCTGTTTAAATTGCTGCAGGACTCTAACTCTTCTCTCTTCTGGTCGCTTTGTATCCTGTAGTCTTTCTCACTCCTGTGTATTAGCTCCTCCATTGGGCGTTGCCAATGCCAACTGCTCACAAATATTTGACAGTGCTCCTCTGACCTGATACAGTCGGGCGACCTTGGCCTGAACTTCCTGGAACATCATCGGACACCAGCTCGCCCGTCAGCCTCAGCTTCTCCAGCTGCTGTCGCTCACCTTGTCGTCACCAGACCAGAGTGGCTGCTGCTTACGGGGCGCGTGTCGTGTGCCGCCGCTCTAGTCACCCTTCTGTAAGACTTCCCCAGGCCTTCGCATTCCCGTGATGACCAGCGTGCCTCTGCGATGACACGTGTCACCACATTTCGTGATGTTGTCTTCGTTCCCAGGGTCTTGCCGGATAGCCTCTGCCCTGCCCTCTGCATAGTAGGCACACTGTACATGCTTGCTGAATACTTGGTGGTCCTGATCAGCTTGGACCTCACCATTCTGCATTCTTTTCTCCTTCTTTGTTGTCTTCTCAAACTGTCCTGATGTCTCTTCCTCCATTTTGTTTTATTTTATTTTATTATTTTATTTTGAGTCAGAATCTCACTTCGTTGCCCAGTTGGAGTGCAGTGGCATGCTTATACCCACTGCAGCCTCAACCTGCTGCCTCAGGTGATCCTTCTGCCTCAGCCTTCCAGGCAACTGGAACCACAGGCATGCGCCACCTTGTCCAGCTAATTTTTAATTTATTGTAGAGACGAGGTCTCGCCAAGTTGCTCAGGCTGGTCTCGAACCCCTGGACTCAGGCAATCTTCTTGCCTCTGCCTGCCAAAGTGCTGGGATTGCAGGTGTGAGCCGCCACACCCAGCTCTTCCTCCATTCTCTTTTTTTTTTTTTTTTTTTTTTTTTTT